TCACTGCAACACCCCTAGAAACATAAACAATCAATAATATAGCGTCAAAACTGTTCCATGAATTATTTATTTCAGCAAAATGCTGAATGCTGGCGTTATGTTGCATTATTCACCTTTAATTTTGAGGAGACCGTGGCCTAGAAAATCTTCTTGTGCGGGAGATATGCTGATGTGTGCACGCAACTTTGTGAAAGCCCACAGTTTCCAAAGTGTGGAGGAAATATTACTGTATTTATTAGTTTTCTGTTTCAGGTATGATTCTGTGTGTCCATTTACACTGTAATGATGCTTGCAAACTTGCGCTGTGCTGATTTGTCTGTTGTAAACTAAAAGACAGAAAACAGACTTTTTCTCATGCTGAGAGATAAGCAGATGTATGTGTTTGAGAAAATATCATATATGGTGTTTAAAAAAAAAAAAGACACAGCAGATGAGAACAGTTCCTATTCTCCTATTTAATTTGAGCTCTATAAGACGAGGCATGTTATACCGAAACATTTTCTTGCCGTTACTGTTACAGTCAGGATTTTATAGCGGAAGGATTTTTTTTATTGTGTGGTAACCGTTTTATAAAAGCAATAAGGTACTCGAGACGTGCTCGATACAACAAGCCTCGAATGTCTTATTGCTTACATAACAACTTTAATTGATAACATTAACAAACATTAGTTCTTTAATATACACCCACAAATACTGTAAAACGTGATAATGTGCAGTTATTGTCTTAAGGAACTATTTTAATAGTAAACTAATGTAGTCAGGATTATTCTGTCTTATAATTAAATAAATAATATTTTTTGTTTTGAATAAACCCAGTTTATTAAAAGCATGAATCACATTTTGTACTGTGTTTTTTTGCTGTGTAATCCATTAAGCATATATTTATGTCTAACACTTTCACTGAGTTATTGAGCTATTTTGGATGTTTTATTTCTCTGTGTGTATTTGAGCGTGAGTGTGGTTCGGTGCTGTTGCTATAGCTGAGGTTTGGAAGCATACTGTGGCAGCACATGTCCCAGCAGTGGAGAGGGAAGCATTAGTGGGGATTAGAACAGCAAAACATTGTCCAGGTAAACAACGAAACATGTGAAACATGCCTGCTGTCTCTGCACACAACCCCATTTAGCCAACAGAACTGGGACATGGCAAGAAATGCAACAAGAACACGACTGTAATAATTAATTAAAAAATAGCCGAAAGTTGATCAGTTTGATACAGAGAAATCAGTTTGCATGGGAAGCTTAGCAAACACCCAATGTCAAATGTAACATAAAAACATAAACAAAAAAAAAGAGTTAATGAATTATATGTATATTTTATATTAAAGAAGTAAGATGTATATTAAATGTAACTGTAATCCATTACAGTTACAGAGAAAAAAAGTGTAATTAAATTACACTTACTTATGAAAATGTTAAGAATTACAAAGGGTCACATCTTAATAATAGTTTTTTTTCTCACACACACACACACACACACACACACACACACACACACACACACAAGTTTTAATGAACATTGGTGGTTGTGTGTGTGTTTTTTTTACAGGAAAAAGGGTCTTGCAAAATGTGGAAAGTGCAAAAAAGCATTCTACTGCAATGTGAACTGTCAGGTAAATCACACACACATACACATACAATCACATACATACTAACAGTGATAAAAAGAACAAAGAAACAAATTGCAAGCAAACAGAACACTATCACAATCAGTGTTGGGGAGTAACTATTGTAATCCGTTACAGTTACTGAGAAAAAATGTGCAACTGAATTACAGTTGCTTGCGAAAATGTTAACGACTACAAAGGGGTCACATCTGAATATATATATATATATATAATTTTTTTTACACACACACACACACACATACATGCAGATTTAATTGATTTCTATCCCAAATTGCATTGACTGCTCTAAAATATGAGACACCAATATTTCAGGAGTGAATGCTCCTGCTTATCTGATAACTGTTTTATTTCCTATTTGGGTTTATGAATATGCTGTATATTTTAAGATGAACTGTTTTTTTCCGAGGCATTGTTAGATTCCAGTGTCTCCTGTCACAGCTATGCAAAGATTTGACGTCAAAAACAGTGTGTTAGCTATGAAACTATTTCTTATTATGATGTTAAATCTGTATTAGAATGATCTCAAAGTAAAAAGAGGTGCTAAAGTCTGATTTTGCGATGACTGTGCTTTAAAATTGAATTATTATAATCTTAATTCACGTGATGAAGGATTCTGATAGTCTGACAGTAATCAGTGTTGAGCACTACTGTGAGGTTAACCCTGCCTGCTTTAAATGTTTCAAAATGAGTAACAGTTGAACACATTCGCTGGAAATACTTTAACAAAGTAATTTAAATAGTTACACTACTTATTACATTTCAAATAGGGTATTTTGTAATTTGTAACCCACTACATTTCCAAAGTAACCTTCCCAACACTGTGTGTGTGTGTGTCTATCTATCTATCTATCTATATATATATATATATATATATACATATATATTCATAGCTGACCTTTAGAAATTGCAACCGCGATGAAGTTTAGATTTTCATATATAAAGGGAGATTATTAGTCTGTTTTGATGTCAAATTTGCAATTATTTGCTATTATTTATTTTATCAAGATACAATTATTCTTAAATGCTAAAGTCACGGTGGTAATAAAATAAAATGCAAGATGTCTTCCTTGATTTTCATTGGGATGCATTTGTTCGACATTATAAATAGCGATGCATAATTACCAATTCCGCTGAACACTTGGTTTTACATCAAGAGTTACATCAAGAGATGACCGGGGCTGTTCGGCCCGGTGTCACGTTGATTTCCAGCGTGGAGGATCAACCTGAAGACCCTCCCTCCCTGCACCGCAAGATAAGAGGCACGCAGATCATTTGGGATTAGTGTGAGTCTAAAAGCACACGAGGAACTCTGACCAAATCAAAATCTGACTTGTTAAAAGAAGGATTCCCAACTGCACTGACCAGAACATCAGCAATCCTCCAGAGGAAGATTTTGTGTTTGGAGAGGTGTTGGATGAAGATGAAGATGTTGTTTTGCAGTCTGCTGTTTGTGTTGGGAGGAGATGTTCTCCTGGCCTGCTCTCTGAAGAACTACACGCTGTACGTGGAGAGACACGAGTGCGGTCACTGCATGGCCGTCAACACCACCATGTGCAGCGGAATGTGCTTCACACAGGTAAGAGCCTAACAGCTTCACAATACAATCATGCAGCATGTTTCTTATGTGGGCTAATGTGTCAAATAATTTGGACAACTGACCAATTCGATACCAGAGATAAGCAGGTTTCATGATGAACAAAGTCATTTTTGACAATGAAGTGCAGTGGAGCATAAGAATTATTTAGAACATATTTAATATACCACTGAATATAATATATTTAATTATATATAAAAAAGCAATAACTTCTTTTAAAAAATATAATTTTATGAGTATAGTTGATCGAGCATATGCTTTTTGTGTATGCGGTGTGGTGTGTGTTTGTGTGTGAGAAGGAAAGAGAGACAACGGTATATATATATATATATATATATATATATATATATATAAGAGAGAGAGAGAGAGAGTGAATCATAAAAATGAGAGAGTAGTATTCATAAATGACTTGTTCTGGGGACATAACACATATGTGAAACACCAATAATAAGAACAATTATCTTTCATTAGCCATTTTATATTTTGTCCATGCGGTTTATGAACCTAAATATCAAAAGACGACATGTGAAATCAGATAATAATAATGTTACACACTTTCTTCATTAAATATATCTAAAAAAACAAAACAGGAAACTCAATACATGTGGAATTTGATGGAACAAAGCTTTTGATTTCTTGTTTTTTATTATCTTGGATTTTTTTCTCTGCACATTATATCAGAAGAAAATATACTATTATATATTACAACTAAACAATAAGAATAAATATGTAATAGGCAATAATTAGTAATAAGTATAAATACATACTATTTAGCATTGTTGTAAATTAGATTCAATATATTGCATATATAAATATACTAAATATTATATACTGTACTACACTGTCGATTTTGTGTGTGTGACAGGACACAAACGTGAGAGGATTTGTGGGCAAGCGTTTCCTGATTCAGAGAGGATGCATGCATCGTTCTCTGGTCTATCATTCTGCTAAGATGCCCGGCTGTCCTGTCCACATTGACCCGCTCTTCTTTTATCCGGTGGCACGCCAGTGTCGCTGCACAAAATGCAACACTACCAGGAACGAGTGTGTTTACAAGCCAAATTACACTCCCAGCAAATGCTCCGAGCACCTGCGTGCCGTCTGAAATCAATCGACAAGGGGCCTTCCTCACAATAAAATTCAGTTCTGTTAACCTTTTTTCCCCCTCTAATGTTTTGGTAACATTTGTTCTATTAGAAAGTGTTTCTCATTTCAGCTATATAGAAAGAGTAAACAATATGGATGGTTTTGTAATAATGTTGTATATATATAATACAACATATATATATATGTAATATAATACACACACACACACACATACAAAATCCAGCTAGAATGTCTTGATGAATATTGTAGGTGAGAGACAGTCTTTGTTCTGGTTCTCCTGTCTGTATCTTTTTCACTATAAACGTCTGCATTAATCACTAAAGTCTCATTTACTGTAACTCTGTAATAATATCATTCACTCATTTTTTTTTAAACAAGCAAATGCTTCATTTTGACTAGCCGTAGAAAAAACACCATTACCAGAGCACCAGAAAATACATACTAAACAAAAATAACAATTAAAATCTCCACAGTAGCAATAAAATATCCTTACCTTGATCTTTTATGTATGAGAGCAATTCATTTTATTTCTTAGGTTACATCAGAAAGGCTTGATATAAAACATAAAATATGTTTACATATTAATTGCATGGTTTGCCAACTACATATGTATGCATGTGTGTCAGAGACAAAATATTTCTAAGGACGATTTGGCAAAGATGTATTTTTAAACTGTTACTGATTGATGATGATGACTCACACATTTTATTACGAAATTATATAAATAATGTTGTGAAAACTGAAAAATAAACATTAATGATCAAATTTGGTCTGGCATTGCCATATTATGAAAATTGCATGCAAATGTGGGATCTGTGTGATTTTTGTTCTCAGTTCTGCTCCATAACTATCACAATCAGTTTTTACAATATATTTTTAATTCATTAAGCTTTGACCAAAAAGCAGAACAGATCATAACACAATGTCAAATTAATTATATGGTCATAACATAGCAATGTAGTTTCCCAGTGAAAAATGAATTTCTGTTGTGTTTAGGAAATTTACAATTTCGAATGCCATTGATTGTACTTTATTTGAATCAATTTTGCCATATTGATTCACTGTTGCATTAATTATTGTGATTTTTAATTTTACTTAAAAAAATATAACTAATATGTTCAAACACAACTTTACACAATTAGACATAATTATAATTAGCCTTCATAAAATGGCACAAGTACCATGGGTATATATTTACAAATAAAAATATATATTTCTAATTTGTACATTAAAATACAGTGTAACATGGATTGTCAAAATCTATAATTTACATTCAGTACTTTGTTGACTTCTTTGACTTTCATTGCTTTTATCTCTAGTGACTTGATGAAATATTTATTACAGGTGTACCTATAATTAGGTGAAGTGAGATTAAGGGTCTTGAAATCGATTGAAATGGCTCTCGATCAAAGGCACAATGATATTTGATTCTTGGGACAGAATCAATATATAATATTTTGATGTCCAGACCAGTAACCTTCTATTTAGATCAGTACTATTTATATTTCTATATACTATTATATTACCATTTATAAAGATGTGCCTGTTTCCAGTTCAGAACATTTTAGACATGTAGAAGCATGCTTTGGAAGAAATCCAACATTCTTTAAAAAATTTTTTTGTTTTTTTACATTTTTCCCCCCAAAGACTTTTTCTAAAACTTAGGAATGCACTTAAACGTACTGATCTGATCGAAAATCCCTAAACATGCATGCAAGTGTGTGTGTGGTAGTGTAAGTGTCTCTTTGCATGCCTACTGTAAGAAGATCCTGCTCCTCTGATTGGCCATGCAGTCAGTCACAGTGGAGACACACAGCCAGGGAGTGAACAGCCGGTGTTGCCTGAGGCTCCTGGGAGGGGTTGCAGTATATAACCCCTCTCTGCTGCTTTGCATAGTGACTGCGCCTCTGTCTACCTCAGTCCTCAATCTTCAGACAAAACTACAAACCTCTCACCATGGCTCAACAACCAATAAGGTATGGAACCAGAACCACTGTCTGCTGTGTCAGTTAAAATGATTTTGATGCTGTAGTTTTATTGTAAGTAGTCTAAACATGTTCAGTTTAACTCTTATACACACAGGGATAGTTGCACTTAAATGAATGTGTCAGCCTGACATTGCCTTGCTTTTTTTGACATTTTCTTCTATACCTTCAAAGCAGTGCCTTGATTTTTGTACAGTTGTTAAATGGAGTGGGTTATGAGTGAATGAATGCATTAGGAATACAATAGGTATTGATTTATTTATTTGCTCTCTTTTGTTTCTCACAAGCCTCCCTGCCAAGCTCATCAATGGTGGAGTTGCTGGACTGGTGGGTGTTACCTGTGTGTTTCCCATCGATCTCGCCAAAACAAGACTCCAGAACCAAAGAGGAAGCCAACGGGTCTACAAAAATATGTATGTTTGCATCTCACATTGTTAACATTTAGTTGATTTTAATTGAGGATTTTTTGGTTCTTTTTCGAAAAGACTCACTGTAAACCCTACATTGAATACTTATTGCAAGTTCACACAACCATAATCAAGACAGCATTTTCTTTGAAAGAGAGATCCTGGGAGTAAGTGAGAATTACCTGTCATGGAAACTGAAAACTTGTTTATCTTTCTCAGAAAACTATGGGTTAGTGAAAGGGGTGCGGTTTATTCAATATTCATTGTATAGATTTAGAATGGTGACTTACCTCAGTAGACAACGATAACATATTATTATTTTGATTAGGATGGACTGTCTGATAAAGACTGTTCGATCTGAGGGATACTTTGGAATGTACAGAGGTAAGTCATTTTAGAAATTTTTATAGAATACTTTACCTTTATCTTTTCCTAAAATCTAAAGCCCACGAGGACATCTTCATAATGCAATATAAATTGCAAGTCAGCACTTTACACCATTTACATAAATTGACAAGAGGCACCGATCCAAAGCCTCTCGACTGTAATAGGTGTTAGTTCCTGTGACTTACTTTTAGATATTTTACATAGCTTGCAAAGTTCAACATTGGCAAAAAAATCTTAAAAATGTTTTCATTGTATTGATTCAGTGTCAGGAATCATAAGAGGTCCCAAAGCAGGAATTTCCTCCCAAAACTTTGAATTTAACTAAAGTTAGTAGTACATCTTTTCAGTTAAGTTTTTTCCTACAGGTGCAGCAGTCAACCTGACACTGGTGACTCCTGAGAAGGCCATCAAACTGGCCGCCAATGATTTCTTCCGTCAGCGGCTCAGTACGGGAGAGTATGCTCCCTCTGCTTTTATCAAGAAATTGTACAATACTCAATAATAGTTAAATGAAAAAAGCATTGAATGATACTCACTTTTATTTCAGGCTCAAGCTGAACGTGTTTCAGGAAATGTTGGCTGGCTGCGGGGCAGGGATGTGTCAGGTTATTGTCACAACCCCAATGGAAATGCTTAAGATCCAGCTTCAGGACGCAGGACGACTTGGTGAGGCATAATTACTGACCCAGGTTCACGTTCTATCATGATTAATCTACAATTTTCAATACCCTTAATATTCATGATATCATCAATCATCAGATCAGTGAATATTCTTCTTCATTCAACACACCTGATTCAAATCATCAGCTCGTTAAGAGCAGGCTCCATGAGCTGAACTGAGTGTGTCAGACAACAGAGACGTACAAATTGTGCAAAGTGGTGGATACCCAGGACCAGAGTTTAGAACCACTGATTTTGTAGACTTGTAAAGTTTACTTTATGCAGGAGGTTCCTTGAAAGGCTGTGCCATTTTTACATTCAGTGACCCAGCAGAGGAAGTTACCAGTGCTTCACACTGTGAAACTTGGAACAGCCAGTCCAGTCCTGAACTGTTCGTACAGTGTGGGTCCAGTGTCTTCAACCAGAAAAGTGTCAGCCATTCAGATTACCCAGGAACTGCTTCGCACAAAGGGCATCCAGGGACTTTACAAAGGTCTAGGAGCAACCCTCTTGAGGTACGACTCTTATAACGTAAATGTTTGGCCAATCTATTCCAAATTCAATCCTCTTGCTCAAACTGTGGTCCAAGTACCACAGGCCTAAATAAGCCATACCACAGTACCTCTAAACTGAATCCCACAAGGAAATATTGGTGTAAAGCAGGGGTGTCCAATCCTGCTTCTGGAGGGCCACTTTCCTACAGAGTTTAGCCCCAAAACATCAGCCTGGAAGTTTCTAGTGATGCTGAAGACCTGGTTCAAGTGTGTTTAATTATGGCTGGAGATAAAATCCAGAAGCAGGATTGGACAGCCCTGGTGTAACATGGCTGACCCAAGTTGGACTTGTCCCTGACTTAACATCCTTGTTGGTCCTGGAACAACACTACCGTCGAAATGTCCAACTTTAGAGTCAGGTTATGGCAGAGTTAAAGCCTTGAAAAACTTTCTTAGTAGCCTATCATTCCTCTCAGAGTTTAGGGGTAGGTGGAGGGTTAGGACTGTATTTGTTTGCTAGGTACATTCGACAAAGGACGCTGATCCAGGAATGTCCAACTTGGGCGAGTTATCTCTCGAGACATTAGTAAAACATACCTTGGGTCTTCTTACAGGGACATCCCTTTCTCAGTGGTTTACTTTCCGCTGTTTGCCCACATCAACAAGCTGGGCAAGACATCTGAGGACGACGAGGTGCCTTTTTACTGGTCTTTTATTTCGGGCTGTGTGGCTGGATGTACAGCAGCTGTGGCAGTCAGTCCTTGTGATGGTGAGCATTCAAGTTTTGCTAAGAACACCTGTTTGAGTAAATGTTAGTGTATGTGCAAAGACTAAGGTTGATCCCATCTCTATCCAGTTGTGAAAACCCGGCTGCAGTCACTCAGTAAAAGTGCAAACGAAGACACCTACAATGGTCTGGCAGACTGCATCAGGTAAAGCAACCTAGCTAATGGACATTCTGGGAAAACGCATTAATGCAATTTTCTGTTTCTGCTGTATTAATGATTATCCCGCTTTTTGTTCCTACAGAAAGATAATGCGCAAAGAAGGGCCAGCTGCTTTTCTGAAGGGTGCCGGCTGCAGGGCGCTGGTCATTGCTCCACTCTTCGGAATTGTTCAAGTGGTTTACTTCATCGGTGTTGGGGAGTTTCTCTTAGGGCAAACTCCATTTAACCTTTACTCTGTCTAAACTATGAAACCACCTGAATTAAACTTTAAAGACCAACGCAGCTATGATGCGACTAAATATCTGAGAACAAACCAACCTGCTCACATGACAATTTGTATGAGATGGCAAAATTGTTCAAATCTGGGTCATACAAATACATACAACATAAACCATCACAGTAATTTGGAAAATACCTATAAAGGTTGAATGTTTCTATATGAACCAAGTTATAGGAGATCATACACTCTCAGAAAAAGCGGTACAAAAGTTGACACTGGGGTTACTAATATGTCCTACTTAAATACTAATAGGTACTTTTAAGGTACTCCTATGCACTCTTTTAGGGCAGGGGTGTCAAACTCAATTCCTGGAGGGCCGGATCCCTGCAGAGTTTTGATTCAACCCTAATTAAACACACCTGATCCAACAAATCAAGTCCTTCAGGTTTATTTGAAAACTACATGGTATGTGTGTTGGAGCAGGGTTGGAACAAATCTCTGCAGGGCTCCGGCCCTCCAGGAACTGAGTTTGACACCCCTGCTACCCTTTAAGGTAAAACCCCAGTAACAGATTTTGAGAGTATACAATTTCGCCATCCTGCACAAACTATTATGTGTTGTATAATTATTCGAGTGTGTTGAAACAAACGGTTGTTGGAGAAGACCGTTAATGGCTTAGAGTTTAAGTTCACGTCTTTACATGCTACCTTTAGCATATTCAACTGGCTTATTCAGGAAGCGATATCATTGCACATGATTATGTTTCTTTTTCTTTTGGAAATGTATGGTCAGAGACAGTCAGATTTATCCTCAGTGAGGGTTGATTTGAAAGCATACGGCCATGACACATGCACTCAAAGGGCCAGAAAATCCTTTTTTTTATACTTGTGTCCTCCATTACCAGTTGTGTCCTACCTTTCTTGCGATGTTTTGTATGCACAATATTACAGAGGCACTGCTGATTAATGTGGACATTAGCGTGGAGATACACCTGTGAGGACATTGTTATACAATATACATGACTCTGAAGAGACACACACAGAGACAGGATGTTTGATTCCTGCTGAAGTGAGGTTTTACTTTTACAGAATTAAAAGACATTCTGTTTAACCTAACCTTGTTAAACTGTCATATTCAAGAGCCTGGATGGACATTCTGGACCATTCCAAAAACTGGGATTTGAGTATGGTTTTGTACAGTATGTATTATATTATATGTGCTTTAATGCCAAATTACAAAACTAAAGATTCAAATAACACATGAGATGCAGTAAAGAAAACTCACTAATATACTGTACAGACATCTAAAGTGCTTGGTGAGTGTTAACTAAGAACACATCTGTGTTGGTGAAAAGTGCACACTGTGCACTGCAGATGAAACTTTAGCCTGGTTCTAGTGCTTCCTGCATAGCATTCACTTGCAGCTGACGTGCATTTCATGCCAGAAAGACGAGGCAAAATGAAGTCCTGCTATAAAGCAGCGACTATAATGCAATTATTTGTATTCAAAGTATTTAAAAACATGATCAACTTCCTGGTCAATATAAATACAATTACATACAGAAGAAACACTTGACTTGTCTAGCAAGGAATTTAAAAATGAATAAATTTCTGAGCTTTTCTACGAACTTGTAACGTCATTTTTTTTTTATTTAATTATTTTTTAATGAAATAGTTTCATATTAAAATCATTATAATTTGTAATGTTTTGAATTAAACTTTTGTCAGAAATTAAGATTTACTAAGGTGCTGGCAATCTCTACTTGGCGGGCCTAAATAACGTGACAAAACTGCATGATCTATATTTAGAATGAATTGGGTAGCAGAAGCTTTACACCTACTGCCAAGCTGGTGCCACACACACACACACACACACACACACACACATACACACGATATAAGACTCAAGCCCATGTCATGTGATACAACATGGATTCGATTGTTCTACTAACATTTCACTTCCAGGGCCTTCCATTGCAATCAGTTAAAAAGACAACCAGTATTGATGTAATGTGATGAGGGTGCCAACTATGGTACTGCGGGTATATCCTAGTCGGTCTGCTTGGAAAAGTCGGGCCACCCATTCAAATTTTAATATGTTGCATATCGGCAACATACTGTTGGTGATTTGAAAATCTGAAAACCACAAGAATCAGAAACTTCAAACAAGTTTATTTGTTCTCGTGCTGCAATGTTCCTGAGAAACTTGAATGCTGTTTTGAACTTTCTCTCCAGAGAATAAATTAAACACACACATTATGAACACTAACATCAAAAGACTGCAGTGTTATGTTTACAGTACAAAAAAATCTCGATATTGTTTACACAAAGTGTAGGAATAACACACTAAAAATAGTTTACAACAGAGCCTCTACTCGAAAGCCATGCACACGACATGCTCCACACTAGTTATTTTACAGTCTGAACAACCACGACTGGGTTGCTTTTGGGTATGAGGACAGATCTACATCAACACTTAATGTGAACGAAACACTAATTTCATATGTTACCCTCTGTTAGCATCGACTACGACGTATCCTAATCGCTACTCTAATGCCGCTTCAACTTGAGGAACTTCAGCAGTGATGCACCAGCAGAAATATATCTGACCAACCAACTTAAAAAAAAAGACATTTCATCCCTTTTCCAATCCTTCCATAAAAAAAAAAAAAAAAAAACATTCAACCAAATACGAAGTTGTCTTTTCGGATAAATAAAAAAAAGGCACCTTAATATTCAAATGCAAAATATGAAACACAAGTTGCTGTACACTGGCCAAAACTGAATCTATACACATTAACCGCACAAAACAGATATTCATGATCGCTACAACTACAATGACAACTCATGAAACTCTCACAGATATGTACATAGAATTTAAGACTGAAGATACACTCACATATACTGCTGCTCGGCGAAATTTCACAGGCGAAATCCAGTCATTTCAATAGGAATCTGCATGTTTGGGAGTTTCGCATGAGGGCGAATACGTTCCGCACATAGATTTTGCTCATGTTCAAGTTGGTCAAAAAAATGTCCACTTTGACCAACAGAAAGTTGCTTGGTTTGAAAGTGACTTCTGTGTGAGCTGTGCCTCATGCATGGAAAATGGACCATTTTTGTCCACGAAATTTTGCTGGAATTTCGCTAATGAAATTTGATTCATTAAAACTTGGAGATATTTCAGTGTTCATTCCAGAATCCTGAATTTGATCATTTAGAGTTGAAGGATAGTTGACTATTTTTATTTTTTTTAATGTGGGGTTCAAAAGTGTGAAAAGTGACTGAAACAAAATCTAATTTAAACCTCAAAATACGACATATGGCGCAGATGCGCCTCGAGTGACCTGAGTTCCTTTCCTGATCTTGTTTCCCTCTCTCATTACTTCCTGTCTCAACATCCCCATCCTATCCAATAAAATCACAAAACTACTAACTAAAAAAAAAGACACTCACTAATTAACTAAGTGAATGTGTGACATTGTACAAAGGAATTCACATGGTCAGTCTCCCAATTATTTTAAAGTCAACAAATGTATGTATAATTTATTCATGCAATTTATATAAATGCATGTATGTTGAAAAAACAAAACAAAAAAAAAACTCTTCTTCTAATAACTCCACTTAAGCACACTGCTTGAACCATCCTCAACTGTTGAATGAATCAAGCAAATGATTCAAATGTTTTTCACGTTTTCACAGCACAGATGGTTGGATGGTAGAAGGCACAAGACAGCGTCAGTGGATCTTCAGCCTCGAGTCTTTACTTAGCTACATGTGTAAAATAACCAGGCAACTCTACACCATAAGATCCACCTTGAGAATGAGAGGATTTGGCTCCATCGTGCCAGAGAATACTGGGCTGTACCGTTATCAGTGGGGGCTTCAGATGAGCCCGGCTATTGCATAACAGAAACCCGATCATCGATGTTAGCGTGAGTTCAAGCGCAAGAAAGCAGAGCTGGGAATATGTGTTAGTGTGCCTTTCCTGAAGCAGAAAGGACATGGAGAAATTCAGAGGGGAAGAAAGGGACAGTTCACCTAAAAATCATCATTTACTCACCCACGACTTGTTCCAAACCTGTATGAGTTTATTTCAGATGTTGAACAAAGAAAGAAGACATTTTGAAGAATGTTGGTGACGGTAGCCATTGACTTCCGTAGTATTTTTCTACATACTATGAAGTCAATGGCTACCGTCAACTGTTTGGTTACCAACATTCTTCAAAGTTTATTTTGTGTTCAAAGGAACTCATACAGGTTTGGAACATGAGGGTGAGTAAATAATGACACAATTTTTGGGTGAGCTGTCCCTTTAAGAGGGCTTACTGGACGATATGCATGCAAGGATTCTTCTGAAGAGTTTTGTGAGTTTTGTGCGCATGTGCATGTCGTTCTGATCCTTCCGTAATGTTTATTTGCGTTTGGAACGTGTCGTGATGTAGAAGACTACTTTGTTTACGTACAAATGTAAAGTGAAAGGCATCTGTGGGTCTTCTTATCAATGTTCCCAGCAGCTGTGTGTTTGCCACAGAAGCCCTGGCATCACATTACACAATATTTTTACCTGACATGTGAAGCCACGCAGCAACAGCCTAGAATAGCATCAATACATACATCTGCAAACCCTCGCAGAAAGAGCTGATCAATGTGCACTAGAACTGAAGTCAAAATTGAAATGATATTAAAACGATTTGCACCTTGATTTAGTCGCATTTGGAAGATCCAGCTCCAAAGCGGGCATTAAATAAAGACAATCCAGCTATTTGATAGACTTTAAACAACTAGGCTGGACTAACCATCGGTTGGTTGAGGTGTACAGGATTATGAAAGTGGAGTTTGTTTTCGGCTCCTGAGTGGCAGAAGAACATCTTGAACTTTGTTGGAATGCTATTGTTGTATATGCAAGTCCAGCAAAGGTTAAGTGTCAAAGGTGAAAGGTCATGTCCAGGTTAGATCACCTCCCTGCTGGTCCGAATTGCACAGCATAGGACCATACTGAAGATCATGCCAATAATCTGTAAAAAGAGAAGATGTTGCACATGAAATTACAGTTGACCCTGTTTGCTTCCCTTTTTAATCCACACTCTGACTGTATATACAATAAGTGCACGTTATTTATTATATTAGATATTGGCTTCACAAAGCCTTGCTTAAAGGTTTTAAAAAAGTATTAAAATGATGAAGTTTGAAGGTTATACAGGATTTACAGGAAGAGCAGGAAATTGATTAAATTGACTACAGTTAATGACATAATGGTATTTACCATGACTCCTGCGATTCCAATCCCCACATAACCCACGATGAAGAGCTTACTGTTGAAAAACTCTGCAATGGCCTCATGACATGTCTGCATGGAATCAAACAGATTGATAACTGACTGATTGATAATATGCATCTCAATACCACATCTGCCTAAACAATTCAATGCATATTGAACACAGACGCCACATTAACTGAAGTGTTATACAGTTCTACAAGTGCCAAACATACAAGAGTTCTACTAATTGCATTCATAATGGTTCTCATCTGTGCTTCATTCATTCTCACCTGGTTTGATCCAACGTTTTGACACAAACTGGTCGAGTCACAGCAGTTCAACTGCAGATGTGAAGCGTTACAAATTTAAATCTTTCATAATAAGGATAAACAAATATATAAACATAATTTATATTATATTTTTATCAGTGTTGTTATTGATCACTAAAACTATTTAAAGTCATTTTTATAATTGATATAAAGCTGAATTAAGATATAAATATTAAAACAAATATAAGAACTTTTGCCTTGGAAATTAATTGAATTAAGTTTAAGTACTAAAATGACTAAAACAAACTGGAATTTAAATAAATAAATAAAATAAAGCAAAATAGAATTGTTTGAAACTGACAAAATCATATAACAAAATTATTCAAACTTAAACTAATTTTAGTTGAATTAACATTTATATTTAACATTCAAAATGTTAATAAATATAGCAGATTATAAATAAAACTAAATTAAAGGGGTCATATGATGCGATTTCAAGTTTTCCTTTCTCTTTGGAGTGTTACAAGCTCTTGGTGCATAAAGAAGATCTGTAAAGTTGCAAAGACTAAAGTCTCAAATCCAAAGAGATATTCTTTATAAAAGTTAAGAGTCGCCACACCTACCCAAAACGGCTCGTTCTAACACGCCCCCACATACCTACGTCACTGTGTGGGAAGATTTGCATAACGCCGCCCAAATGTTCACGCAAAGAAAGAAGTCGTAACTTTTATTCTCGCTGTAGTATTGTTGCCGCCGCCGCCATGTCGTCGTTTCAGAAAGGCGGGGCATAGAGGAGAAACAATAATGTACAGTATGTGGAAAATAATGTGTTTTTTGAACCTTAAACCGCAGAAACACATTTCATTACACCAAATACATAAAATAATGTTCTTTTTAGCAACATCATATGACCCCTTTAAAACTCTATAAGAAACTAAATAAGCATATGACTTTTCTAAATAAGCTTTGTATTCAGTAAATGTTAATAATCTCTATAGGGCAGTTGATTTTGTTAATATTTTCCGCTTTATGTTTACTCTTCCTGTTTCAATCAACAGTGAGACGCAAAAAACTGAATAAAAAGTGCAAACTCACTTTGACATGGTAAGAGTGGACGGTTGCATTTTTGTGGTTTTCTGCTGATTTGTCATAGAAATCTTGTATTTCCTTAATGATCTAAAATGACAAATTAATAAAAACGTATGTTGTAAAAGTCAGACTGATTTTATTTCAAATGAACTCTGAATCAGATCTTTTGCAGTTTAGTAGTACCTCGTCTTTGTTGAGGAACCCAAACACTCCTGCAGTGACTTCTGCTCCAAAGATGACCAGAAGACAGGTGAAAAACTGCCATGCAAGAGAAACACAGCACCTGGGTTATGTCAACTGTATATTCCATACAGTATTTTATTAAATAAAGAAATATTCCAGGTGTTTCCTCTTTTTTTTATTCTCAAATCAGAATGTTTTAAATAAAACAACATCATCAAGTTTACTGTCAGTTCCTCACTGACCATTTGTCAGTGAGCAATATTGTTTTGTTACCTTGAAAACAGAATAATATCTCACTCACCAATCCCAGAAGGCACTGAGACTCCCTCACGGCACCACAGCAGCCGAAGAAGCCCACCAGCATCACCAGACCCCCAGCCGCGATGAGGATATAGACCCCTGTGCAGGACACCAGAACACACACAGACATTTTATGCTTTTTCATGCTGCACCAACTTTTGGGAAAATCTGAGGAATTGATTTAAATTCAATTTATATGCAATATGGCTTACTGTTGGTAGCCAATACATTATTTATATAAAAATATTACAAATAATTAATAAACTCAAAAAGGGCTGAAGGATGTGTCAAATTCAAAATTCCAGTTCTTTTTTCTTTTCTTTTTCTTTTTGTAAGATGATTACGGCAATTCACTGGATTTATAATGAGAAGCATTTGTAAACCTGTTTTCACAGAAAGCTTAAGGGTTTAATTTAAATGAGTAAATTAAGACATAAGTATTTGTCAGGGTTATGGACCTGTCTGTGTGTGTTTTTGCTCCCTGTGACCCAGTTTCTGTCTCCCGTTGATTGTGTTAATTTGATTCCAGGTGTGTCTAGTTCTTCCCCAATTATCCTGTGTTTAAAAGCCCTAGTCCTTTCAGTCAGTGTTTGTCTGTTCTGAACGTCCTTCCATGTGTTCCTGTGTCTCCTACGTTCCCCTTGTGATTGGATTATTAAAAGATTGTGATATTGCTGTCGTCTGGCAGCCCCTCTGCTCGCCCTCAGCCCACCATCATTATGGTGCGAGCCCCGCGGGACTGCCATCCTCCAGCATCGCCGGGGTCGGAGTATCCCTCACCTCAGCCTCCGAAGCCCGGACTCCGCCTCGGCCCGTAGACCCAGCGGCTCCACCTTGGCTGCCATCGCCTCTGGACGCCTCTCCTCTGGCTGCGCCTCGTCGCTCCGTCCCACCAGCTCCGTTGGGCTCCTTCCTCCCGCCAGCTCCACCTTGGTCCTCAGTCGCTCTGGCTCCGCAGTGGATCTCCGGATCTCCGCCTTGGTCGCCAGAGCCCTCGGCTCCACCCTGGCCCCCCGGCTCGTTGGCTCTCCGTCTCCGTCTCGGGCTCCTCCTCCACCTGCTCCGCCGCCGTTGGTCGGCCCCCTAGAGTCGGTGGCCATGGCTCCTCCCACCGTCGGCTCCATCGTGGGCCGCTGTTATGGCTGTGGCCTGGGGCGAAGAACTCCTCGTTTCCTCGTTCCTTGCTCCCCGAGTGAATTGTGAGAGAAGAACCGACCGAAACAGTTACCTCCATTTGTACCCTCCGTTTTGTTTCTCTTTTTTACTCAGTTTTTTGTTTCCGTTGTGTTGACCCATGGATCCCCTCCTTCGCCCGGAATACCTCCTCCTCCTGCTGGAGCAGGGGGAGAAATCGCTCGAAGGCCACACCAGACTGTTCCTGGTCCCGGCAAGCCTCACCAACTACCCGGACGACGCGCTCTGTGCGTTCTACGACGCCAGTTTGAACATCGCGTGCAGAGCGCTGTCGTCCGAGGACGGTCCTCGAGCGAATTTCGCCGCCTTTGTGGAGTGGACATTGGCGAGAAATGGATCTCTGTTCCCAGGAGTTTATCGCCAGTGCCACTCCTGACGCAGAGCCCAGCCCACCATCTCCCCGCGGTACGGAGCATCAGCCCGAGCCCACCGATGACGGAGAGCCATTTCCCACCGCGATCCGCGATCTGCGAGCCAGAGCAAAGCCAAGCGACTGAGCAGAGAATCGCCCCGGAAGTTGAGCCCAACCCGTCAGACCAGGTGCGAGAGCCGGCTACAGAGCCCACCACGAGGAGGCTACAGAGCCCGCGGACAGCCGCGGACGGTGTGAGCGCGGAGAGGAGCTCTGCCCCCTGCATCACGGCTGAGGGTGAGCTGAGTATGGCGCGGCGTTGGTGCCAAAACGAAGAGGAGAGGGCTCCAGTCCCCGAATCCAATTCAGAGCGGCCTCCAGTGCCTGCTCCTAGAAAGCGCCCTCCCCACCTGCTCCGCCGCCGTTGGTCGGCCCCCTGGAGTCGGTGGCCATGGCTCCTCCCACCGTCGGCTCCATCGTGGGCCGCTGTTATGGCTGTGGCCTGGGTCCTGCTGTGCTCCTCCTGCTCCAGGTCCCTCCTGTCTCCGCCCTGGCTCCTCCCTCCTTCGTCGCTCTCCTGGTCTCTGTCTGCGGGCCCCCTCCCGGTTGTCCGTCCTCCTCCTGAGCCTCCTCCCTAGTTCCCATCCATTTCCCTCCCCAAATAATATATTAATATACTTTTTATGAGATTATTTTCTTATGTTTTAGCACCGTTATATTACAATATTGATATATTTCTGTCTTAGAGATAACAATAATGGAAATTATTGTTGTTAAAATTGTTTGGCTTCCTAAAAACACCAGTGTGAATGTAATGTAAAGGAGGTTTGAGTCCACTTTTAAGTCAAGATACACGTCAATGCAAAAAAAAAAATGCTGTTCAATTTGGTTACTGAAAAGGAGGCAAATCTCTTAATTTTGTACCAGATTTATGCAGTTTACTTTGAAATGAACAAAATGTTATTCCTTCTGAGGTCACATGCATTGGGAAACACTCATACTGTATATTATAAAATAGTATTGATAGTTGTATATAATATACAGCATAAACATTAGCTAAAGATTAAAAATAACGACAGTAAATAAATAAAAACAATCACTTTTTGGGGGGCTTTTGTCACAATTTAAATATTAGTAATAATCCTTGAGATCCTGCAGATTTCAAATCATGTACTTCCGAGTGGTCCTGCTCCAGCCAAGTAACTGCCATTGATGTAAACTGGATCGTTAAAGAATAATTTTCTCCTGGTATTAGACCCTTTTTGACACAACACTGCTGTCATTTCAGCAGGATGTAATCAGTCACCACCAGCAGAGGGAAGCACAAGCGTTAAGTGAGTCACTTTGGGAGATGACAGTGAGATGTGTTTGAGCACAGCGTGACCGCGTACAACGCTTCAAGATGATGTTATTAGCTTTCACTTCAGCCTCTTCCATCAACTTATTATCCTCATTACAGCAAAACAGAAAGAGGGTGTGGGGTGCATGAATTCCCATCTGCCTCCGCAACAGAGCCACAAGTCTAATACCTGACAGGTTCAGTCAACATCAGGCCATGGAGAGTCAGCTTCCTGTTACTCACTGATCTAGGATCAGCATCCTCAGACTCTAGCCTCAACTTGTAATCTAGAGACATGAGTTCTTTAGTTCAACATGGGGAGTTCATCCTGAGCCGGTTTAATTATGCCACAGGAGACCTGGGACAGGTGGGAAGTCTGGAAATGAGATTGAAACTCTCTTGAGAGAGAGAGAGAGAGAGACTGTAGGGGATTTTGCGACCCTTTGCTACATCATTAATATAGGATAAAAAGGTAGAAGATGTAGAGTAATTACTACAGTGCTTGCAATGTCATGCTGTAGTATATGATATTCATCAAACATTCAGGCCATGGATATAAAAGTTTCAAAGGCTTGGGGTTGGTACGATTTGATCAAGGCCAATCAGTGTATTTTAACAAATTGGTTAAGTGACTAATTCAATGACTCACTCATAAAGACCCATGGGCATAACAATATAACCGGCAAAGAGAGTCAATAAAAATCCCCATCACTAGACACAAGTGAAGTGATACAAACAGAGAAAAGTCCTGGCTGTTCCACTAAACATTAGAGGCCCTTATAAAAGCGAAAGCACAGTTCTCAACAGGTCACATGATTTGAGGTGTCATTCTTATCTTTAATACTAATAATGCTTAGGTTTAGGACTCTGTTCAAATTGCTAACCCTCAGTATGAGCAATGGTGATACTTGTCTTTGCAAACACCACTAAGCATACCAAAAAAAAAAACACTTTTTATTTTCCCAGAACATATACTTCCTCTGGGCTGAGAGTGTTACTTACTCATACAGAAAAGACTCACCATTATCTCAAGCATTTGGGAAACAAAAAGAGTAAAACTGAGATGATCGAAAACAAAGTGTGACAGAGAGAGTGAACACAACCTTTATCTTCCCTCTTGACTAAAAACAATCTTGTCACACGCTGATAATATTTACAACGTTGCCACAGAAGCTGCGGAGAAGACAATCCTTTGTCATTGCTGACTGTAATCTAAAAGTCATGTAAAATGTGTGTGTGTGTGTGTGTTTGTAGACAAGGATGACTAAGAAGTCTGAACTGGTTAATGTCAGCACTGTCAGATGGTTTATTCCAAACGATTAAGGTTTGGCTGGTTAGCATGGTCCAGTTAACCCCTTCTAGATATTGTAAGTACACTATTCAGGAAGCAAAAGGCATCTGTCTTTATTCACGGGCATTTAAAATTACTCAAGTATTCTGACAATAATAATAGTAATAATAATTTAAATAAATAAATAAACACATTTTCATTATTTAAAATATATTTAATTCAGATATTACATTATGTTGACAAGGGTCATTACATAAAAAAAACAATAAAAAAAAAAAAATAAATAAAAAAATAAAAAAATAAATTTGTGCGTACCCCAAACTTCTGAATGGTAGTGTACATACTAAATAAGCCGCAGGTAATCACAGTCTTGCTGCTGTTATTTGGAAAAGTGTGATATTGTTTTTATACAACAGCCTGATAAACAACAAATTAATACTGAGGATCTTACATTTTAGACAGAATATTGCCAGCTTGATCCTTCCTCAGAAATATTTTAAAATGAAATCAATCAATCAGAATTGGCCATTCACACAATGTAGTGGTGTGCTGTTCCATCAATTAATTCATTTTGAAAGCATAAAATGCAATGTTCGGTTTCTTGCACAGACTGACTGTTTACTTCATAAGACTTCAATAATTCGTCAGGAGCCACGGGTATTAATTTTGTACTGCCTGTATATGCTTTTTTTCTCAAAGTGACGGTAGCCACAGACTTTTTATGACATTTTATGAATCATCAAGGGCCACAGTTTTAAAAATCTTCTTTACTGTTCTACTGAAGAAGAAAAGAAGTCACCTACATCTTGGATGGCCTCAGGATGAGAAAATTAACAGCAAATTTTCATTTTTGGGTAAACTATCCCTTTAAGGTTATAAAATGTAAAGACAATTTTATATTTTCATGCATAGATACCTATTTATACTGACACACACACACACACACACACACACACAAACACACGTGTATATATATATATATATATATAGTGGAGCTGTTACTATAAGAATAAGTAAATGAAGTAAATAAGACAGAAACAGAAACTGACTAGTTTCAGTGAGTCTATAAATATAAATGTATGTGGGTTGTATTTGCATCTAACTATGGAAAACAAGATGACTGTGTGTGACGCAAATGTGACTTTGGGTTGCAGGCTCAAGTGAACAAGATAACTCTTCATCTGGGCTGATGAGAAACGAAAATGTGACTTTGTCACCGGGATATTGCTGAGGTTTTAAGTCATGCTCGTTCACACTGGCTTCTTTTCACAGCTTTAAGTACTAAAACCCACAAATGAGGGTGATGTCAGCAACTAAACCGAGCTTGAGGAGGCTGTTTAAGGATAAGAATATTTCCTGACATCATGAAGTTCTCCTCTGCATCCAGATTTAGCACTGCATGACCTGTCTGTATCTCTCTCTCCTCCCATGTTGACCTGTTGCCACAGCAGACCTGAAGTATTGTGGTTTCCTCCATGTATGCATAGCTTGAAATGTCACTTCCTGTTTTCAGAAACACCAGCCTCTGAAATGCGCAAGAATTCAGTGTGTCTCACGAGGGCTGGGCAGAAGGCCGTGGAAACTTTGCCACTCTGAGTGGCCTCAGATGTTTCCATCCAAACACTAGGTCTGTCTGACGCACCTTTATCTCTGTTTTAAGGGCTATAGAGGGGTCCAAAACTCTGAAAGCACTAAATTAAATTTTTATTATTATTTAATTCATATTTTGCAGAACTGTAGAATCTATAAATATATCCTATTTTTTTTTTCATAATTTTAGATATTGTCAATTTTAATATTATAATTATCATTAATTATATACATTAAATATATTGTACAATAAAAGTTTTTATATTAATTATAAATATTATTTAAATATTCTAATTTAATTTTGTTATAATGTTTTTGTAATATTTTCTAACATAACTTTTTTTTTAATAAAAATATATTATCAGCATTACAATTTGAGTGAAAAGTTAATAATAATAATTAAGTTACATAATGGAAAATACAATAGATAATAGAGAAAATCATACCACGTTTTTCCTGTCTGTCGTCCCTTTATTTCAGTTTTAAGGGCTACAGTGGGAAACCACTAAATATTTTTTTAATTAAATGCATATCTTCTATTACAAATATATTATCAGCATCTTATTATTTTTTTTCTTATTTATATTTATTTTACAGAAGAGGATTAGGGCCAAGCAATAATAAAAAAAGAAAACCATCTCGAGATTAAAGTCATTATAATGCGAGATTAAACTCGTTACATTTCAAGAAAAATGTCAAAATAAAATGTTGAGAATTAAATCGTTAAATTTAGAGAATAAAGTCGCTGTGTTTCGAGAAAAAACTCATTAAATTACGAGAATAAAGTTGAAATAAAATGCTGAGAATAAACACTGGTGTGATCTGGTTGGACAGTGTTAGTCAGCGTCTGCAGTGGCGCAGGTCCTAAAGCGTAATACTCGAGCATGAAGCATATGACGCGGTTGACTAGAGTTCGAATCTGGCTTTCGCCGAACTCGCACTTCTTCTTTTTTTCATCACATATCACATCGGAAAATGGAAGTCAGTTACCTAACGAGTGTTTAATAATGATGTATTAATTGGGTAGGTTTAGGTGTAGGTAGGCTATAGGGAGGGCTTTTTTGTGTACCAATAAGGCAGCGTCTATTTAATCATTTTAATAAATACACTCTATGTTATTATTGCATCCTGTTAACGTACAACAATACTGAGGTGAAAATAGTTTCTGTCACTATTTATAAGCATAAATAGCATCTAATTACTATTTACACTTATTGCAAAGATCTGCTACTTTGACATAGCGTAAATAGAATCGCTGTTGTCACTTAGTGTAAATAGAATATATCACTAATTTCACTTAGTGTAAATAGAATATATTACTAATTTCACTTAGTGTAAATAGAATATATTACTAATTTCACTTAGTGTAAATAGCATCCGATGTGATATGAGATGAAAAAAAGAAGAAGTGCGAGTTCGGCGAAAGCCAGATTCGAACTCTAGTCAACCGCGTCATATGCTTCATGCTCAAGTATTACGCTTTAGGACCTGCGCCACTGCAGACGCTGACTAACACTGTCCAACCAGATCACACCAGTGTTTATTCTCAGCATTTTATTTCAACTTTATTCTCGTAATTTAATGAGTTT